GTGTGAAGGGATCTTTTGTTGTCGAGAGATGTAGGACACTATCATACAAAACCACTTTGCCCTGTACAGAAGCTGAAGTACAGTATTTTGTAACTCTTCTAGCCTACTCTTTTGTGTGTGTGCTTGTGTGTTCATGAATGTGAGGGCATGTGCTTGTGTGTGTGTTTTGTGCATGTGTGTGATCAATCTCAGGTGTTGTTTCTCAGGCACCATCCTCCTCTTAAGACAAGGTCTCTCACTGGCCTAGGCTGGCTGGCCACTGAGCCCCAGGAATTGGCCTGTCTCCCCTTCTCTAGTGCTGGGATTACAAGTGCATGTGACCATACCTGGCTTTTTTACATGGGTTCTGGGGATCAAACTCAGGTCCTCATGCTTGCATGGCAAGCCCTTACCAACTGAGCCATCTCCCCAGCCCTATGTAGTCATTTTGTTAACTTGTTTGTTAAGCAGCTTTCCTCCTCTCCACTGAATTAAAAAAACCCATCACTAATTTTTGTAGTAGTTGAGAATCTTGCTCAAGAGGGCAGAGAGTATGGAAGTGATTACAGGTTCTGTTGGAGTGAGTCAGAACAGAGAAAACTACATTTTCATGGACCTCTCTTTTTCCCACCTATTTTACTGCCCAGGTCCCAAAGAGCAAGAAAGGGAGACCTGCCCCTGATGGTGGATGATAGAAAAGTGGCTGTCCAGGGTGGGCTCCTTCCCCATCTACAGGGAGGAGGCCTTTGTCAGGCATCTGAGTGACAGAGACAGTCTAATTAAACTGGGATTGATTTATTAACAGAGCTCTACTGCTCACATAATTTAACAACTCTGAGGTGTTATGGGGCCTGGGGTATTGCTAAAGAGTGCTAAGGCTCAAGGTAATTATTGCCTGACTCTAGAGAGGATGACAGATGGGTCCTCTTTGTCTCTAAATCTTGCCGGCTTTGTGGGATGTTGTGGAGGGGGCTCCTTGTGCTGATCCTCCGTTGTCTTGCTGGCTCGTTCCTTTCTGAGTTTCCGAGGTCCTTTGTCTGAGCCTTGAAGACCCTCCCTCCAAGCCACAGCTTACTCAGCTGCGGATCTGCCTTTGGCTCTGCCTTAACAATGGGTCTCTTGGGTCCCCAGCTGCCTTTCTGTTTGGGGTTGAGTTTCCAGCCATCATGCTTTTTGGCTTGGTGTGACTTTGTTAAAAAGAATCTGGTCTCTTAACCAAGCCTGTATAAATATTTATTTAAGACTTCTGTTGTGTGCCTGCTTCTGGGGCTATTATGTTATTGCATCCTTTGACATGTAAATGACAGTTCGCGTTAGGACAGGCAAACTCTGAGAGGAAGGAGGTCTATTAGACTGGGAGTAACATTCTGCTGGTGTTCTATGGCCTGGCTTCCTGGGTCTTCTACCACAGGATCTCGCTGAATCACTGGCAACCTGCTCATGTAGGTCATTGGGCCCAGAAAGACAGATTTCAGAAACCTAGATGTAATAATGACATACATAGTCATGTACTTTCTTGTCAGCCAAGAACACCCGCGAGCTTGCAGTGCAACCTACTCCCAGATGTGCACCCGAAATCTCCTGCTATTTCATTTTGGATCTTTGGTTATATTTTTATGAGTTGGATAGTTCTTTCCTCAAATAAAATAGATTTCTTTTTCTGATTTGAATGGTTACATGTAATGACTGTAGAAAATGTGGAAAACACGAAACAGTAGGGAAGAAAACCAACAACTGTCAAATAGTCCCTTCTTTCAAAAGTGAACAACTGTTAACATTTGTGGATACCAACAAGAGACCAAAGAAATGATTCTACCTAACTCCACTCCTGTGAACCAGTGTGTTAGTTGACTGGGGTTACTTACAGGAGCAGGGTTGACTCAGAGGCTAAAGAACTCACCTCAGCAGGGGTAACAACTGCATCCTTGGAGTTCCATCCCTTTCTGGTATGTCACCTGCCTTGGCAATGATAGGGTTCAGGTCCAGGCAACCCCAGACCCAGAAACCATAAAGCCCCTAGGAGGAACTAAGTCAGCCAATTACCAGCTACCTGCAAGTTGACAAAACAGCTCCAGGAATTGGTGATCCAATGCATTGTGATCACCAGAGCATGCTCCACAGACTGACAAACAGATTTCCCAAGCCTTCTAGCTGCAATGGGTTCCTGGAACCCTGTAATTGTTAAAAAGCATGTTTTACAGTAGGTGTTTTCCTTAATAAGTTTCACCAGGTACAGACCCCACACCCTCCCTGAACAGCCCCCAAACAGCCCCAAACAGCAGAAAAATATTCTCTTTTTATGAATTCTTTTCCCTTTATAAGCCCCCCACCCCCTGCCCCATGCAGCCTGCTGGTTTTACTCACTCCTGAGTTGGGTCCCAGCCCCGCCAACCCAATAAACTCTTGCTTTGCCAGAGTCCTCTCTGTTTCTGTTTCACAGCGATCTTGACCCCTGCCAACATTTTTTTATCTAACAGGCAAGAGCAGCCTTCATCAGAAAAGTCTTGCCTCATGGTTGCCTGCTCACCCATCTCATGGACCATCAGTATGCAGCCTAGCAGGCTGATGTGGTCCAAGTCTGTTCTTCATGGTTGAGTCTCGCTCCTGCCTTATAGGAAACATTGGCCCTTGGCACCATAGTGGTGTTTGGCTATGCTCAGCCATGTATGTGTGGAGCTCCAGGGACCCAAACAGCATCTTCTCTCCATTGAATGGTTATCTTGGAACAATCCTGCTCCTCTCTAAGCACAACTCATTCTTAGCATGAGGGAGGTTGGAAATGTGTCAATGAAAATCCTTTGATTTGGTGGTTGGGGAGGTGGCTCCAGGCACAAGCAGGAGGACCTGAATTTGATCCCCATAACCTACATTGAAAGCCAGGCACAGTGGTACACACTTGCGATCCTAGTGCTGGAGAGGCAGAGGCAGATCCCTGAGGCTCATTGCCAGCCATCATAGCCTACTTGGAAAGCTCCAGACCAGTAAGAGAGCCTGTCTCAAAAAATAAGGTAGATAGTGTCTGAGGAATTTGAGGTTGACTTCTGGCCTTTACATACATACACACATGTACATGTGCACCCACAGACATGTGTACCCACACCCACGGGTACCCACACATGTACCTATACCTATATGTTCATGCACATACACATGCATACACACATATGCCCTCCCTCCAAAAATCCCTTAGCTTACTTTTTTTCTACATGGGTACAGGGTCTAACTGAACCCATCTGACCCCTTCTGTTGAATTAATTCTTATCCTAGAATTAGGATGCATTGTGATGAGTTTTGGGTCAAAGAAAATGAACTTATTACTTGACACTCTTAATAAATTCCTCAGAGGCCATTGAGCTCGTCCATATGGTTCTTGGGCTAATGACTGTTTACAGTTATTTAGTGGCATGAGTCAGAGAGCTGATCATAGTGAGAAGCTTCCAGAGCTCCTGGACCTGTGGAGAGCCCTTCAGAGTGCTCACAACTCCCCATGCAATTTTGGTGTTTCTCTCTTTGCATATTATCCAGGAAATTAGAGGAAGGCAATTTGTAAATAAATGATACACCTCTGTGAAGGACCCTGAGTTCGACAGCACCCCTCTGGCTGGTGTATAGCATTCCACATGTGCTCTCGGTTATCCATCCACCAGGCAGGCTTAACTCTCTGGCTTAACTCCCTTACAGTAGCAGGAGTTTCCAGCATAGTGCTGAGAATCATGACATTGGATTCCCATGGAGTCAGAGAAGCCCACCACTCTTTCCTCTCTGTATGTGTGCACATGTCTGCATAGATGCACATGTCTACAAGTATATGTGTGCATACATACACATGCATGTGGCTATGCATGCACATGTGTACACAAGTATACATGTACATATGTGTACATGTGTATAGGCAGAGAACAACCTTTGGCATTGTTCGAAGGACACCATTTGTCTTTTTTTCTTTTAAAAAATATATTTATTTTATTTTTATTTTTGTGCATGTGAGTGTGTATGTGTATGTGTATGTGATTGTGTCTGTATGCTTCTGTGTATGCAGGTGCCTAAGGAGGTCAGAAGAGGGCATCAGAGCCCCTGGAACTAGAGTTACAGGCAGTTGTGAGCTGCCATACATGGTGTTAGGAACTAACTCAGTTCCTCTGGAAGGGCTGTAAGTGCTCTTAACCATTGAGCCATCTCTCCAGTCCCTCAAACTTGTTTTTTGAGACAAGGTCTCTTACTGACCTAGAAGTTGCCAAGTAGGCCAGACTGTATTGCCATTGAGCCCCAGGAATCCACCTGTCTCCACTTTGCCAGTGCTGGGATTACAAGTGCATCCCCGGTACCCAGATTTCTTTCACGGGTGCTTGGGATGGAAGTCAGGTCCTCATGGTTGCATGACAAGCACTTAACTCATTAAGCTATCTTCCCAGCCCATAGCCTATTTAATTATAGATTCCTGAGATGAGGATCCTTATGTTTCTCACTATAATCACGTAGGCTCATTTGAAATCTGTGGCTCTCCATGTAAAAGCGTGGTGTCACTCATATGTAGGCATTTTGAAGTTGGTCAAGCAGGTGGTCATCTATGAGAAGGAAAGGTCTTCCAACCATGCCTGTGCCTGTTACTGAGGTCAATGAGAACAGGTGGATTCAGAGTAAGGCCAGGCCTGTAATCCCAGCTACTTGTGAATCTAGGGTAGGAGATTTTAGTTCCAGCTTTGCTTTGAAAGTTGAGTTCCAAGTTCTCTGCTTTTAGTTTCTAAATTCTCAAAGACTTAGAAACAATGTGACTGATAACTGATTAAGCTTTTTTTTTTTTTCTGATATTGGCTCTTGGATGCTTTGGAACACACTGGGAAGGGAAGTTGTTGCAGGTGGAATTCAGAAATATTTTCTTTTTATAATTATTAGATTTTACAAGGACAGTGGTTTTAAAATTTATTCTCTGGGAACTTTTCCCAGATGTACTGATGAACTCACAAATGAGAGATGTGACCCATGCGGCTGTCAAATCTGAATGGTGTTTTCTTTCTTTTTAGCTGTCTCCGTCATGAGGTACAGCGCCTCTGCCTTTGGTTTTGCAGTAAGTAATCTGAAATGTACTAACTTCCTGAGATTCTGCAAGCCTTACCTTGAGTCATCAAATATAAGAGTGCTTAGGAGATGTGAGCTTAGTGGGAAAAAATGTCTTTTGGAGAACAACGTCTATAAAAACTACAATTCAGTAGAATTAAATGGTATCAAGATTGGACATTTCCTAAGCACACATTCTATGTTCTATGCCCGTGTTCTATGAAGTGGATGTTTGAAAGGGTGTATTGGGAGGTTTAGTTCTTTGTTTCCTTCTGGGTGTATGTAGGCCTGTTACACACTGCAGTGATGCATACACTGGTGTAGACAGAGAGATTAGTGCTGTTCACATTAGAAGTCAGTCTATAGCCTAAGAGGAGCTTGGTTCCCTGCCTGCCTCCTTGTGGGAGTGGGTCAGAGAAATCAGGTCAGGTGTGTTGGAGAATTGAGTGACATTTCTTCACGGCTTTTCAAGTGAGGGCCAGTGCTTGTATGTTTCAGATGAGAACCAAGGTGCAGTGTGATGACACAGGAGAACTCCTTCACATATCCTTGCTGCAGAGACATAGGGTGTCCCATACTCAAAGACCTGGGCTAGGTCCCAAACCCACTTCTGCCCTTTGTTGTAAGAACTTAATGTTTTGAGGGTGTTGCTGATTCTTTTAAGAGCCTTATAAAGGATATGGATTGTCCAGAAAATTATAAATGAGTTCACTGGTACCTAGGCACACAACCAGAAATGAATCACAACATATACAGATGCCCAGAAACACTCCTCTCTCCTTTTCCCTCTCCCCCTCTCTTTCTCTGCCTCAAAAGCACTGAGCTTTCTATACAATATCAAAATTTTGTGGACATCTTAGAGCCCCTGGGTGATCCCTCATATCATCCCTGGACCCAGATAGAACAATCCCATTGAGAGTGAGTAAATCCTTTACCCTAAGTCTTCTTGCTATGTACAAAAAATTGCTGATGTTAACTTGCCTGTCAGAGCCCATCACTCAGGGGCCCACAACTTTGCTACTAGGCCAGCATACAGTGGGCCAGGGTTTCACCATGAGGTTTATAGTGGCTGTGTGAAGCAGAAATGTGTGTGTTCTAAGATGCTCACTCAGATATTCTGGGCCGTAGTACAGTTGCCCTGTGTGTTCACGGTCATACCCCACTAACTCTGGAGAGCCACTAATGTCCTGTCTCTTTCTCCTAGTTTGATGCCATCCTGGATGTGCTGTCCTCTGCCATTGTCCTCTGGCGCTACAGCAATGCAGCTGCTGTGCATTCTGCCCACAGAGAGTACATGTAAGTGGATTCTTCTTTTTGTGAACTGGAGTCTTAAACATAGACTGTGCAATCTTCTTCAGTACAAATCCCATTTCAGCCTTTGTCCCAATGCTGAGAGCTCAGATTGCCTTTGATGTCAGCTGGTACGCTGTCAGCTATGGGATGGGTCCCTCCTGGGATGGTCATGGAGATAATGATGAGCCTTTATTGTTCTCTGGGTTCCCTGCTCTGGAGTCTGGAGTGACTATCTGCATAGGACTTGCCTGCATAGGACTGTTTGTCCTTTCTAGACAATTCCCACCTATCCATCTGTTCATTCTTCTAACCATCCATCAATCATCCATTCATTCACCCACCCCTCAGTTTTCCATCCATCAAAGCACCCCCTCATTCATCTACCCATTTATCTATCCATCTACCGACCCCCTCTGCCTGTCATCCATCCATCCATCCATCCGTCCATCCATCCATCCACCAATCTCCCTATCTACTCATCTACTTTCCCTCCCTCCCTCCCTCTGTCCCTCCCTCCCTCCGTCTGTGCCTCCATTTTTCTCCCAGGGCCTCATGTATGCTAAGCAAGTGCTCTCTACTAAGCTGTACTTCCCAGGCCCTAGAGTTGAATTTGTTAGTTTTGACAACCACTACTCAGGGAGGGACTGCCCTTGCCTCATTCTCTCATTTGCAAAAGTAGAAAAACAACAGTTCCTCCACAGGATTTTCATGATGAGCCCACACATACACATACACATTTGTGTATATATGTGATTGTGCATATGTATGTATGTGTATGTGTGTGTTTGTATGTATTAGCACATGCAGTTTTACTTGACCCCTGTAGCTTTTGGGTAGTTGAACACCAGTGATTAAATGTTCGTTTGTGTGGTTTTGTTGGAATCAAAGGGAAGGTGCTGCTGAATGGTGGGTCAATCCACACGAAAGGATACAAAGACTGAGATAGCTCTTTGATGTCGGGAGATTCAGGCAGTAAGCAATGTATTTGTGTTTGAATGTGTCAAAATGGAAAACTTCTGATAGATGACAGAATTCAGATTCACTAATGACACAATGAAAACAAAACAAGGAGCCAGAAAGATGGTTCAGTGTTTGAGAGTGTGTACTACTCTTGCAGATGATCTGAGTTTGGTTCTCAGCACCCATGTCAGACCCCTTATAACCACCTACAACTCTAGCTCCAAGGGATCTAACTTGCTCTTCTGATCTTCTTGGGAAACTACACACATATTCACGTGCCCACAAATAGACACACAGACACATACACATACTTTAAAAACAATAAAATAAATCTTAATAAAAAGATTAAAGAGAGAAAAGATGTCAAGTATGATGGCACATGCCTTTAATCCCAGTATTCAGGAGGCAGAGGCAGGCAGATCTCTGTGAGTTTGAGGCCAGCCTGGTCTATATAGCTCCCCAAAATGCCAAAATTCCTCAAACTCTTTACATGTGAAAGATATGCATTATCTCTCTCTTTTTATTTATTTATTTATTTATTTTTTTTGCCTTTTTGAGATATGATCTCCCTGTAGCCCCAGCTGACCTGGAACTTGCCATACATGGTCTCATAGAGATCTGCCTGCCTCTGCCTCCCAAGTGCTGGGATAAAAGGCATGAGCCACCACATCTGGCTCATAACAAATATGAAGTATCAGATTGTGATATCAAAGATGTTATCATTTTGGACAAAACTAATTTTAAAAATAAGCTAAACTTGTGGTAAAAATTTTAAGAAAAAAATGAATAGTAGAAAATAAATGTAAAATTTGTAAAGTTTCAAATGATGGTTGTGTAGCTATAAAGGAGGCAGTAGTATATCTACCCAATTTATTATGCAGGGATTTGAGGAACTCATAAAACAATGGAGTGGGCAGTCAAGAGAGATGTTCTATCTCATGTCAGAAGTTAACCACTATCTTCTCAGAATAAGATGCAACCCTTGATTCTATATCTACACTACCCAGTTTGCTATTAGTGCAATATTTTACCTTGATAAAGGCCTTGTCCAAGCTGAGATGTAAGTGTAAAATATACATAAGATTCCAAAGAGTTAGAAGAAGAGTGTCAGGGCTGGAGAGATGGCTCAGTGGTTAAGAACACTGGTTGTTTTTGCAGAAGACCCGGGTTTGAGTCCCAGCACCCACATGGCAGCTAACAACTGTCCATAACTCCAGTTCCAGGGGATCTGATGGCTTCTTCTGTCCTCACGGGCATTGCACAACATGATTGCACTTACCTACATGCAGGCAATACACTCATACACATAAAATAAAAATAATAAAATATTTTTTAAAAAAGAAGACTGTCTAAGTCTTAATAATTTTTAAAAAGTATTGGGGACTAGAGAGATAACTCAGTTAGTAAAGTGTTTGCTTTAAGCATGAGGACTTGAGTTCAATCCCTAGAACCAACCACATTAAAAAAAGTAATAATCAGGGTGTGGAAGTATACACTTGTAATCCCTGCTGATAAGAAAGATTCTTGGGGCTCACTGGCTAACCAGCTTAGCAGGACTTGGTGAATTCCAGGCCAGTGAGAGACCCTGTCTCAAAAAGCAAGGTGGATGGTACCTAGGAATGACACCCAAGGTTGTCCTCTGACCTCACACATATGCTCACATTTGTATGTCTGTCTGTACACACACACACACACACACACACACACACGCATTCACACATACAAATAGTGATTATATGCTGATATCAGAATATTTTGCATATAGTATACTAAACTATTAAAACTAATTTTTCTTGCTTTTATTTTAAATATGGTTTCTAGAAGCTTAAATTTGTATATGGGCTTTGCATTTAAATTTTCTATCCAGGAAGAACAGGCGAGTACTCTTTATCCTCCCTTTTCTTTCTTATTTTAGAGTTAATAATTCAAAAATTTGATCTACAACTCCAAAAGGAATTGAGTTCTCTCTTCTAATGTGCTTTTTCAAAAAATCTTATTTTCTTTCTGCTAAAATGATTTCAGTACATACTTAGTCACAAAGCCAGAAATCATTATGGCTTTTCTGTGGTAGTGGAGCTCTGTGAACATTTACCAGGTGCCTGGAGATTTTCCCAGACCAAGATTGGTTGATTTGATTTCACTGTTTTCTCCTCTTATTTTACTTGTGATTGCATGTATGTATGTTCTTATGTGGATCCAAGTAGGCTAGGCTGGCTGTCCAGTGAACCCCAAGGATCTGCCTGTCTCCATCTCCCTAGTGCCTGGATTAGAGGTGTGTTACTACCACACCTGGCTTTTTCACATGGGATCTGGGGGACAAATTCAGGTCCTCATGCTTGCATGGCAAATACATTACAGACTGAGTCATCCCATCATCCCTGGTTTAACTGTTTTAATGATCCTCAAAAAGGTTCATTAAACACCATGTCTGTTACTCACAATGCAAAGACAGAGGTTATGCTTTGGTGACTACTGGGTGGTTGTTCGCTGGATAATTCTCTAAGACATTCGAATCTAAGGATTAAACAATACTCATAATCCTCTAGATTGCTAGCTTTAGTTAACATTGTAATCTCTGGTTAAAAATTCATGAGATCACTGCCAGCTGAGAATATATTTGCATATTAATGAGCATAAAGAAGCCATGAGAGATACAGTTAGAAAAACCATTGACTTTCATTTGGTTTCTGGAGAGTAATAGAGGGAGTTGTGAAATATCCAAGTGGATTTTATAAAAGTTCAGTCCTCCTGCTTCTCTGATTTGGAATCACAGCCTCAGAGTGAATCTTGAGTTTGAAATTGCCAGTGTAAAGAAGGTAGACATGGGCTTGGCCATGTGGAGACTGTAACGGAAGGGAGTGTGTGATGCTCTGTGGGAGAAAGGTGAGGCTTCTGTCCCACCGTAGTGTGTGGCCTCCAGAGTTTGTTTTGTTGCATTTTTTTTTATTTTGACAAAACTTACATGGCTTAAAAATAGATCACTTTTTGTATGTGTGTATGCTCATGTGTGTGAAATTGTATATGCATGTTTTCTAGAGGAAAACCTAGAATATTGTTCCTCAGGAGTCATTCACCTTGTTATTTTTAGACAGGGAACCTCACTGGCCTGGAACTCCCTAAATAGTCTAGATTGTCTGGGCATTGAACCCCAGGGATCTGCCTGTCTCTGCTTCCCCAGCACTGGGATTACAAGCATATGCCACCACACCTAGCTTTTTTTTTTTTTTTTTTTAAATAGGCTCCTCAAATTGAACTCTAGTCATTATACTTGACAAGACTTTGATGAGCTATTTCCCCATCCCTCAAATTGATCATTTTTACATATGCTTAGTTCAGTGGGTGTTAAGTATAAATTATGTTGTTGTGAAACAGACAACCAAAATCTTTCATCATGCAAAACTGTATGTGATCTTAGCCAAAAAACTGGGAAGTAATTCATCTTGCACAACAGAAACTAAACCCATTGACTAATTCCCCATTTCCCTCTCCACCAGCCCATGGTAACAACCTGTCTACTTTCTGTTTCTATTACTTTGATTACATTAGATAACTCATAAATGGAATCATATAGTATGAGCTCTCCCTGGAAAGATAACAAATGTTTATTTACCTCAGATAGGGCATCAGCACTAGACCAAAGAAGTGATTCCAAGTCTAGCTTAGTGAACTGAAGAGTTTAATTGGGGCTACTTATAGGAGCATGGGCAACTTATGGGTGGCTAAACCACTATGATAGTTCATTTTGTCAACTTGACAAGATCTAGAATCACCAAAGAGATTAACTTCTGGGCATGTCTGTGAGGAAGTTTCCAGATCAAGTTAATCGAGGTGGGAAGACCCACCCTAAATGTGGGTGGCACCAATTCTATAGTCTAGGGTACCAGACTGAATTAAAAAGGAGAAAGCTTCCTGACTGCACATGCAGTGTGACCAACTGCCTCATGCTTCTGCTGCCATGACTTCCGCACCATGATGGACTGGGCCCTCAAACTGAGCCAAAATAAACCTTCCTTCCTTAAGTTGCTTTTGTCAGGTGTTTTGCC